CTCTCACTGTAATCTGGCTGAAAGTTCCATTTTCACAGCAGCACGTTAAAGGAGCAGTCCAGTTTCTCCCCTTTAGGGAATTATGCATCATTTAGAAATCCGTAAAAGCGATGGTCTTACTGTGACATAATGTGGGCACAACCAAACCAAAACGTACAAAATGGATGTAAACAGTCAATTTATACTTTTTCCAACTTCTTCGTTAAAAGTATAATTACAAGTTATTTCTGAAAACTTTTTCATTATAACTTGCTGCTGAATACACACCATCAGCTAAATCAAACACATTTCTGCAAGATTTTTTTCTCAAAATTCAGTTTTTATTAAATATTTTATTGCAGTCTATGTTTCAGTGGTTTGTTAACTTCTCCAGACTTTTTGGGAGGCACAGAAAGACAGAAATACGACAGTAACCCAAAAGATTTGAAGACGGAAACTACTTGAGTCACTAATAAAACCTGTTAGTGGACCAGACAGCTGATGAATCACCATGGGAGAAAACCTACAGATAAATGAAAAAGCATGCAAACGTCATACAAAAAGGTTCCGCACCCTGGGTCAACCAACTTCAACACAGTACAGCCCTTTAAATAGTGTTCTTAAAAGGTTGTATTTGTCATGTTGTGGTGAAGTGATCTAACCCACGACATACAGAATCAGATCGGAGACGGTTTAAAAGGTTTAAATAAGGATTTATTGAAGGGAAACCAAGGGAGCAGCGTAAACGAAGCTGAGTTCTTGCACAGGGAGGCTGGTGCGGGAAAACTGTGGACAGATCGGAGTTAGAACCAGTTTGCGGAAGGAACGGGAAGTCAGACTTGTGCGGAGGACTTGCGGTCTGGAGAGGAGGGAACTGGTTTGAGGGAGGAGTGGTCCGGTCTAAGTTGAGTGGCTTGCAGGGACTGAGATCCAGAAGTGAGACGTGGAGGGAGCTGAGTTTATGGAGGTCCAGGAAGTTTAGGTGGGCAGCTGGAGGTGGTTCTGGCCAGGGGAGAGGCTGAGAGATGTGCGGGGTTGGAGATCCAGGTGGTGTGGACTCCAGAGTTCTGCCAGTCCAAGATGAGAGTGTGTAGGTTTGTCTGGGAACAAGAGCAGGAGGTCAAAGGGCAAAAATCCAAAACTCATTAAATTCTTAAAAATCCAAAAACACAATCTAATTCTCAAAAGGCTTAAAGAGCTTGAACAAGATAAACTAGCGGCTGTTAGAAGGTACCCAGGTAGAGTAATCATCCAGCGAAGTGTAGGAGTCTCCCAGCTGCTTCAATACCCCTGGCCAGCTGATGAGCAGATCTGCTGCAGCTTGGTCACCTCCAGACACGCCCACCTGCAGAGGGAAACTCAAAAGACAGGGAGTGACAGCAGGGAAATACCTCAGACCGTGACAGTATTCACTTCTCTAGTATGAACGAATGCCTTGTGAGTCGTTTTCTGTGGAAAAAAGCTCTGGCAATCCTGTTTCAGGGAGTGAAAGTTGGTTGATATATTCATGATATGCAAACATCTCGTCTCTGATTGGCTAATAGCATTGCGACTCTTCTGCTGCCTTCATTCGCTCTTCTGTCTTGGGTAAAAAAAATGCCATGTTTGTGATTATCTCCAAAAATAACATTAGCCTGAAAGTATTCCGCCATGTAATTTCTCTCAGCATCTGGTAGGACATGGCCTATAGAGCTCCGGGAGTTGACGTCACGTTTCCCGGCATGCAACAGTTCAAATCGAAACGGCGCCATTAGGCAGGCAGAAGCCGGCAGCCGGACTATTTGTTATTGTCAGAAAACTCAATCAGACAGGAAATATGGTAGATTCCTGTTGTGCCCCAGGATGCAGAACAGACGTGGACGACATAAGGAATGAGCCTTCTACAGGATTCCCCAAGATCCGGAGCGCCGCAAACGTTGGATCATTGTAATAAAACGCGCTAGTGACCGGGCGAAAATGAAGCTGTGGGATCCCGAGAGTAAAGGTTTTCACTTATGCAGCGACCGCTTCATATCAGGTACTTAAACCAACGTTTCCTCAACTGTATATGGTATTTATTTTAAATACTTTTATTACGATTCTTAGTGGGCTTCCTAAACTTATTTTGGCGTGGCTTTTTCTGTCTTATTACTCGTAGCAACAAGTAAACATCATGTAAATCGTTGCCTCGTGAGTTCTGCGTGCTGCCGTTTACGTGTTTTATGATCACAGCAATTAACCGGCTAAGCTGTATTTAATTTTTAAGCAATGGTTGATCAATTGTCAGATCACACAAAAAAAGCACTTTGGATTGCTATGATCTGTCTCACCGAGACAGATCCTGAGACGCTCCTGCCTGACATATTTATTTTATTCACGAAAAAAAATCAAACTAGTGATTTCTCTTGGCGTTCAGTTTATACATTCAAACAGCACAGCACTCTATTTAAACTACTTACGTGTAAATCTGTTATTTGTCCATCCATTTTCATCCGCTTATCCCGAGTCGGGTTGCGGGGGCATGTAGCGTCGAGAGGCCCTGACTTCCCTCTCCCCAGCCGCCGGAGCCAGCTCCTCCGGGTAAATCCCAAGGGGTTCCCTGGCCAGGTCCAGTAAGAAGTCCGCTCCGACAGCTTCTGGCGTCGGAGCGTCGAGAGTCCCAGACCTCTCCCCAGCTCCTCCGGCCGGGGGAATCCCAAGGCGTTCCCCGGCCGGGTCCGCTCCGACAGCTTCTGGCATTTTTAAAAAGTATCCCAGGGGCACGGTAAGGGTCGGAGATGTTTAGTCTATTTAATTACTGACTATATAAAACGATTTCTTCGGTTTTAAAGTGTGAAGTAAACTCCGACGAAGTAAAATCCAAGCGGATCCCGTTCATGTTTACATCCGTGTTTGTTTACCTTTTTTTCCTGCCAAAATGGCGTCTACCAACTGAGTCACGTGGGGTCCGGAGCTCTATAGGGATGATAGTAGATGGGAGGGGTGAGAGTTTGGGGACTGTGTTTGTGTTTAAAAGCTAGCTTGTTTTGCACATTTGCCACTAGGGATGTCCCGGTACAACTTTTTCACTTCTGATACAATACCAAGATTGCAGACTTCAGTATTGACTGATACCGATATCAATCTGATACGATATCAGCACAAACCATACATACTTTTATCTATTTAAATTCATAGTGTGGAATGTATAAAAGACTTGATCAAGTGATTTTACTCGATCGGAGAACAAGAGCCAATAACAGTAATTATGAAGAAAATGACAATTTTTTCTTAACCATTGGTTGCAAAAATGTGAACCTTAAAGAGCAAGTCACCCCCTGCCAGAGTCCAACTCGACTCCCACTTCCTGTTTGAAAAATGCAACAAATGCTGTTGCCTGGCAGACCGAGAGGGCGGAGCTGCTAACAAATACACACACACACTTCATCAATCGGGAGAGGCCTCCTCTCCCGCGGTTGGGGCTGTCGCAGGCCTCGGTCGACTCACGCCGGCCCGGGCCTTCGTCCCCCTAAGTGCAGACTGCTGGATGCCCGTCGCGACGGACCCACCTCGGGCCCGGCGCTGCCGCCGTCCTCCGGTTCTCCCGACACAGCCGTCGTCCCTCCTCCGTTTCCCCACCTCCGACGCTCCTCCGCGGGCGCCGGTGGACCGGGGGCGTGGAGGGGGCGGCCGTCTCCGCCGAGCCCCGCACGGTTGCGGGCGCGGCTGCCGGTGCGGACACTCTCTCGAGAGGTCTCATCCGAGCTGCCCGCGTCCGTGCCGCGCGCCCAGGGGCTCACACGGCGGAGGCGGACGCCTCCAGCGGGGGACGGCGGTAGGGAGGCTCGGCCCGGACGACGTGCCGGCGTCGGACCCGAGCTCGGACGTCCGCCGCGGCGGGGTACCCGCCCTGAACTGAGCCGGCGAGCCTCCGCCACCCCCCCTCTCTTCTCGGAGTGTGGGGGGGGGGGGCGCGGAGCCGCACCCTTGCCATCCCATCGGCCCCACCCCGACGCCCACCACCGGTGGGAAGACGGGGGGGGGGGGGGGGACGTTGGGGGGGCAGCAGCATCCGACTACGACCTCAGATCAGACGAGACAACCCGCTGAATTTAAGCATATTACTAAGCGGAGGAAAAGAAACTAACAAGGATTCCCTCAGTAGCAGCGAGCGAAGAGGGAAGAGCCCAGCGCCGAATCCCCGTCCGACTGGCGGGCGTGGGAAATGTGGCGTAAAGAAGACCGCCTGCCCGGTGTCGCTCGGGGGCCTGAGTCCTCCTGATCGAGGCTCATCCCATGGACGGTGTGAGGCCGGTAACGGCCCCCGTCGCGCCGGGGCTCGGTCTTCTCGTAGTCGGCATTGTGACATCATAATGTACCAGTTTACATCATAGCATACCTCTTAGCCAATAGCGGTGGCAGATTTAAATTAGAATACAGTGCAGAGTTTTTACCTGACAACGGCACAACACTGCCAGTTTTAGGCAGAATATTTAAATTTTAACTAAGATGCACTGAAATGCCAAATTATTGACTACGCGTGTCTGCAGCATGATTAGACACTCGTTTATTTAGTTTATCAGCAAAAAAAAGTTGATTTGGGGGTGACTTGCTCTTTAAACAACTGCTTTTATCTGATATTTTTGATGCCGTCCAATATAATCCGATACACTATATTTGGGCTGATATCGAATTACTTCTGATATAGATATCAGAACGGGACATCCCTATTTGCTGCTGCAGCTTTAATACCTGAAACATTTCCCTTTCATAGAGAGCTGTTGTGCATATTTAAGGGAGTAATTATATAAAGGTTTAACAAACTGCTGTTTTAGGAGTGGGTTCTCACGTGTGTGGTTAAATGTGCCTTTCTGCTAAACCTTTGTTCACAAACGTCACAAACAAATTGTTTATCTCCCGTGTGGACTTTTATGTGTCTACTTAAAGTTGCCTTTTGGCTGAAACTTAGTCCACAGAAGTCACAAGCAAATGGCTTCTGTCCCGTGTGAATCATCATGTGTTTGTCTAAAGTTATCTTTTGACTAAAGCGTTGTCCACAAACATCACAACCAAAGGGTTTCTGTCCAGTGTGGGTCCTCATGTGTGTTTAAGTTTCCTTTACGATTGAAACTTTGTCTGCACATGTGACAGTCAAAAGGTTTCTCTCCTGTGTGAATTGTCTTGTGTGCGTTTAGATTTGTTTTTCTGGTAAAAATTTTACCACAATCATCACAATGAAATGATTTCCGTCTTTTCCTGACCTTCTTGATAGACTCTACTTTAACTTCTACTGTAAAACTCTTATTATTATTGACACTTGGAGACCTTGAATGACTTGTCACGTGTCTCTGAAGAGACCGGTTGCTAACAAACAGCTTCCCACACTCAGAGCAGCGACAGTTAGTGGTGTTTACAGCTGGCCCAGTGGTCCTGCCCTCTTTTAAATCACCGTCACTGTCTTCAGTTTGTGACTCAGAGTCTGCCAAAGGTTTCAGCTGAGAGTCATGATTGTTCACCTCATCTTCATCATTCTCACTCGAATTAGACTCTTCTCCATGAGTGTTTAGGTCCAGATTCCTGGTACTTCCTACTCTTCTACAATCTGCTCTACCAGATTCTACTTTCATCTGGTCAGCTGAGCAGCTGGTCAGAAGATCTCTGTCCTCCACTTTGTGCCGATAAATGTGGGAGAGGGGAGGTTTCTCTCCATCCTCCTCCTGCTTTAAAAGAACTGAAGCGAATGAAAACCTGGTGGCATCGGTCTCCTCCTCGTCGATGTGTTCATTTTTCTCACTGGTCCAGATTTCCTCCTCTTCCTTCTTAATGATGACAAGCTCATGGTCCTGCTGGTCCTCATCAGATCTCCATTCTTCATGATCTTCTTCTTTAATCACCAACATCTGCTGAACATCTACAGGGAACACTGAACCAAATGGACATGACGAGTAATTGTAATATTACACACACATGATTACAAAAATCCTCTTGATTGGCTCCCAGAAGAAAACAAATAGAACACTTTCTGCTCAACACTTAAGAGTTGAAACAGTTTAAGTATAGTAGTCTTTAGCTAGCAAATCAAATATAATCGTGATGTTTGTTTTTGTTTTGCTTTTCTTGTTGACTGCAGCCTTTTTACTCTTTATTCTGTTTTTTTTTTACTCCCCTTTGCTTCCTGTTATCTGCACTGTTTTGTTCTGTTTTGCCTCCTGCTGTGACATCAATATTTTTCCCAGATGGACAATAAAGTGATTTTCTATGCTAAAAATGTATTGAACTCTCCCCTTTTTATCAAAAACTTTAATTGGAAGCTAATTTTAGCACCATTTAGCCACCTGGAAGAAACTATTAGATTAACTCAAGAGATAAGAAATGCCAAAAACACGAGCTAATGAGTGTTATGTTTTGTATGACATTTTTACCGGGAAAGAAGCGTTTTCCTTTGGTATCTGCTCGTGCAGGTCTCCCCTCACCAGGATTTCATCCACATCTGTTCGACTTTCTGCTGTTTCTCTGTTCGCTTTTAACAGTCTGACCTGCTACAGCTGAGCTAAACTCAATCATCATTAAGGACGAACAACAAAAATCCTACAAATCCACTCACTTTTTACGAGTCTTCTTTTTCCTCCCTTTTCTTCCTCTCGGGGCGTTTTGTTGGCGTCTGGAAAACACCGCTGTGGTGCTTTACCGCCACCTACTGGTGAAATCTGTCAGGACAATGGTCTCAAAAATAAAAAAATAAAAAAAGCCAACCACAAACTATATCGGCTTTTTATGTGACTAGTTTTAAACTTGAACATGTCATCTGATATTTTTATTAAAATATCTGAGATTAAAACAGATTTTTTTATTTTATGTGACTTGTGAAAATCAGCAATCATTTCCCTTTTCTAAAACACTCATCTACTACAAGTCTCTGCTCACATTTACAGATTTTTTTAAACATTCTTTAAAAAATCACAGATGTTAGGACTTTTGATGCAATGTAGATACATTCTAACTACGCATCAGCGGAGGTGCATCGGGCAGCAATGCCCAATGGGTAACCAAATTTGTGTTCACAAACATCACAGTCAAATGGCGTCTGTCCTGTATGAACTTGTGTGAGGCTAAATAAACCTTTGATAGAATTTTTGCCCATGCACTTAAGAAAAAAATAATCAAACGTTTCAGTCTGCCCTCAGAATGTGATCTTGAAGATCTTCAATCCCAAATCACTAAATGAAAATCTCACATTTAAGTTTTTTAAGTGCTACATTTAAGTTTTTGATTAAGCAAAAAATAACTCTTTACGTTGCAAAAGTATTAAATATTTTAAGACTCTAGGAGGACAGAGATCTTCTGACCAGCTGCTCAGCTGACCAGATGAAATCTGGTAGAGCGGACTGTAGAAGAGTAGGAAGTACCAGGAATCTGGACCTAAACACTCATGGAGAAGAGTCTAAAAATATTCCACCGTGCCGTGGCGTCCGTTAAAAAGAATGGGTATCTGGAGCCTGTATTTTAAATAGAGCCAAGTACAGAACAAAAAACATCCACAGAGATTACACTGACCCCCATCCTGCCCTTGTTGTTTATTCTGCGTCATTACGTCACGACGTAAACAAGACTGTTTAACGCTGATTAAAAAGGGGAAACACTGACATTTGAGCTGGTCAATGAGGATAACTAATCAAAGGTGTAATGGCGATATTTGTTTCCCCAACTACCCCTGGCAGAGAAAAAGGCGCGTGCTCTTGACAAACTAGAGCCACACGGGAACTACGGCCACCGCGAAAGCTCAAACAGTCGGAAAACTCGGCACCCACCCACCCATTCGCGACTTTCTCTGGGGGGTGCGGGGCAGTCTGGGAACCGCATACCAACTGGCAACTCAAACCGACGGAACACCGGGACCCCCTCTGAGGTTCCAGGGTTCTTCAGCATGAAATAAACCCTAGACGTTACCGTGCCGTGGCGTCCGTTAAAAAGAATGGGTATCTGGAGCCTGTAGCAGCTAACCGAGTCGGGTCCGCGGATAAAGAAGAGGAGGCACGGTACTGTATATCATGCTTTTATAAATGTAATTGGGAACGAATAATATTTATGTAACCCAGCTTTGACTAGCTTTAGCTGCCTTGTTTGTTGTTATTTCTCTGCTGACAGCTTGTTTTTGTCTGGAAGCTAGCCTAGCAAAACATCAGAGCCTTAATGTGAGTGGGACTTTATTAAGTCAAAGGTTGAAATATCAAAGTGAACCACTTAATTAAAAAAAATTTCTTTATGTTTTACAACTTCTAAACACTTGTGAATTAAAAGGTGGAGTTTACCTTCAAAAGATGTACCGATTCTGGTTTTAGGGGCCAATACCAATTATCTAGACCAAGCTAGAGCGACTGCCAAATCCTCAGTGCTTATCCTACTCGACTTATCGGCTGCATTTGACACTGTCAGCCATGGCTTCCTTTTGTCCACACTCTGTTGCATGGGAATCACAGAGAAAGCACACGCCTGGTTTGAATCGTACCTCACAGGACGATCATTCAGTGTATCTTGGCTTGGACAATCCTCTACCATGCACCATCTTGCCACAAAAGTCCCCTCATGGCTCTGTACTAGGACCTCTTCTCTTTGCCATATACACCACCTCACTGGGTGAGATCATTCAAACACATGGCTTCTCCTACCACTGCTATGCAGTCAACACCCAGCTCTATCTGTCATTTCCACCGGATGACCACACTGTCTCTGCACGAATATCAAACTGTCTCTCTGACATATCAAAATGGATGAAATCCCACCATCTCCAACTCAACCTCTCTAAAACTGAACTACTTGTCATCCCAGCAAAACCATCCATACAGCACAATATCTCAATCCAAAATTACTTCCTATCTCTGGCTCCTTCAAAGGCAGTTCGAAATCTGGGTGTTGTGATAGATGAACACCTGACCTTTAAAGATCATGTTGCCTCTGTTGCTTGTTCATGCCGCTTTGCGCTGTATAACATACGAAAGATCAGACCATACTTAACACAACATGCCACCCAGCTCCTGGTGCAATCTACTGTCATCTCCCACCTCGACTACTGCAATGCCCTTCTAACTGGTCTTCCAGCCTGTACTGTGAGACCTCTTCAAATGGTCCAGAACGCAGCGGCGCGTCTGGTCTTCAATCAGCCAAAAAGAGCACACGTCACCCCTCTGTTCATTGAGCTTCACTGGCTACCGCTAGCAGCACGCATCAAATTCAAATTGCTAACACTAGCATACAAAGTCTGAGATGGTACGGCTCCCATCTACCTGAATCCTCTTGTAAAGGCTTACGTCTCGGCCCGGCCGCTCCAGTCATCACAGGATCGTCGGCTAGCAGTGCCTACACCACGCTCAGGACAATCCAGACTCTTCTCATGCATCATTCCACTAATGTGGAATGACCTACCAAGCACTACCAGAACAGGGGCTTCCTTTTGACCTACCAAGCACTACCAGAACAGGGGCTTCCTTTTCAATTTCCAAGAAACTCCTGCAGACCCTGCTCTTCAGAGAGCATCTTCTTAACTAGCACCTTCCCTGCACCCGTCCCCCTCTCTACTGTCCACTCCTTGTTCCCTCCTCTCCATGATTGATGTCAAGTTGTTGTTATTGTTGTTGTTAGCCTCAAGGGCAACATGCCGATTATCACTTGTAAGTCGCTTTGGACAAAAGCGTCTGCTAAATACATAAACATAAACATCTGAATCTTCTACAGCTTTAACCTGCAGATACCGATTTAGGCTGATTCTGGTTTATCAAAAAATTATAAAACAACATTATTATGGAGATACAAACATTCACTTGGATGATTTAATATTATTTGCTTGAGTTTGGCCTTAGCAATGGTGAGGTCATGGACTAGGAAAGTAGATCGATAAACAAAAATAATATTAATGGCACAGGAGTTAAGTGCTCGCCCCGTAATCAGAAGGTTGCAGTGGCATGAATGCTGATCTTAAACATTTCCAGCCACTGATATTTTAATGTTTTGAGACATTTGTGGTACATCTAAAACATCATTACAGGTTTTTGAGAGGTTTCACATTGTTATATTTGTTTGAGGATAGAGTAATCCATACTAAATGGTAAATGGCCTGTATTTGATATAGCGCCTTCTAGAGTCCTGGAACCTCTCAAGGCGCTTTACAACACAATCAGTCATTCACCCATTCACACACACATTCACACACTGGTGGCTACAGTGTAGCCACAGCTGCCCTGGGGCACACTGACAGAGGCGAGGCTGCCGAGCACTGGCGCCACCGGTCCCTCCGACCACCACCAGCAGGCAACGGGGGTTAAGTGTCTTGCCCAAGGACACAACGACAGCGAGAGACTGAGCGGGGCTCGAACCTGCAACCTTCCGATTACGGGGCGAGCACTTAACTCCTGTGGCACCGTGCGGTAACGATATATATTGCGATATATTTTTTCCTCTGTTTATATATGTCAAAATGACATGCTTTTAAATATCCTCATGTGGCAAATATATGCCACTTGAGGCATATAGGCCTCCTCCTCTGCCCACTCCATGCTTGCAGTCACTGCCATTCTATTGCCCCAATGTCAGCAGGGTGCACATCTTAGTGACGTCATGTGTTATCGCGGTATTGCGATATAGCCAAAAACTCTATCATTACCCAATTTTATATGGTTTCTACCTTATATCGTTTATAATGCCCACCCCTAGGTACCATGTTCGTAAAAGTTGCATTGGCACGTTGGAACTGAAGATTTTGATTGGTCCAGACTAGGGCTGGACGATGTACAAAAAAAATTATTGAAAAAAAAAACCCACATCTTATTGATCAATATCAATCATTATTGAAAATTCTATGAAAAATGTAGAAAATACATATTAAGTGCAGCCCTGACCATTCTATGTCATTACTTTATGATAAAATTAAGTTGGCTGCGTTACCAGACTTGTTTTTATCGATTCTCTGCGAATTTTGCAAACCATCCTTTGTTTTTTGTCAAACTTGTAAAAATGAAAATATTGCCATACTGGTGAACTACTGTAACTTTTCGGGACAATTTCTTCCACCCCTCCTTGCTGCAACATCTTGTTTAGGTCACACTGCTGTCTGTTTAGGTTTAAAAGGGGAGGGCTTGGTGACGGAGCATGCTTGGGTCTGTGTTTTTGATTGGTTGGGTGTATGCAGTGACTAGTATGAAGCTACTATCATAGGCAATGATGGAGAAAGGAAACTTTTTATTGAAGTTTTTCTTGATCCATTTTTTTTTTCTATTGACCCACATGTTAGACGATTGATATATATCCTTATTGAATTATTGTCTAGCCCTGGTCCGGACAATTTGCAATGGTAGTCCTTGTGGTTGTAGTCCTGTAGTCAGAAACAAATTTCAAGGAAAATGTTTGTTTTGCCAAAGAAACTTTAAAATAAAAGCAAAAATACAATTGATAAACAGAGACCTTCCGCAGCTTTGATTTTAATTAAATGGGGCAAAATAAAATTAAAGAACTACTTTTTATTGAATAAATAGCAACATTTTGAATGAATTAAAGGCAGGGTCGGTAAGTTAACGTCATCAGAGCGAGGAGAAGATTTTAAATCGAAAGGCTGTTGCTCACTCCCCCGCCCTTCCTGAAAGAGCCATGCCTCCTTGTCGATGCTCCTAACGTGCGTGCACAAGGAAAGCCGCGTCAACCGAGAGAGCATTCGCTACTTTGACCCAGAGGTGAGCTAGCATTAGCAATGGAGTTTTCTGAGGTAAGGATGTTGTTTCCAACCAAAAATTTAGCTATTTACTCTTAACAAAAGGCATTTTATAAAGACCATATATAAATATATATTTTAGAAATAGCAGTAACAGTTGACATAATCTATATTATAAATAAACCCACTAAACTGTTAACATTTTTATTGGGAGTCACAAGCATGTTATTAGCTTATCTTAGCATTAGCTCCATGGACTAGTTTACATTTTATGTCATTCAAGAAGGGATGAATGTACATTATGGCATGGATTTATTTACATTAGAACTAATGAAATATACAGAAGAAGTCCTCATTTCTACAAACGGAAATGGATGTTGATTACCTTATTATCATGGTAATCCTTTTGGATGACTGAGAACCTTCACTAGCAGGCTGCTAATTATGTAAATACATTTCAAAATGTTCACAAATAAGAACTGTGGTGTGTTATGGCACAGACTGATGATGGTTTTATGTAGTTTCACATTCTTCACAAAACAGAAGGCAATATGGTGTTTTAGTAACAAATTACTTTATAAAGAAAACATTTAGGCGGTATGCTAAACTCTTTCTCAAAACCTGTGTGTGAAAGACTGAAAACGAGATGCAATATATTTTGGCCGAGTGGATTTGCTGTAGTGTGACATCATCAGCAGAAGCAGGACCCCGAGCAGACCTTTTTTAAATTATTATTATTATTATTAGTCAAAGTAAACAATACAAACATTTACGGCATAAATTACAGATTCATCTTCAAGGAGTAGAAAGGCAGTGAAAACAAAAAATAACTAAAAATTAAAACATAACAAAATGAAAATAAAGAAAACATTAAGTAAAGTGAGGGACTTAATCAAGGATTCCATGAAGT